CTGAAACGCCGGCCCCGGACGCTCGCCGGGGATCGACGAGGCAGTGTGAGGCACGCATCTATCCCTGCCCCTCGACTGCTTCCCAGAGGAAAACACTTGCGCTCAGAAGTGGTTCGTACTCCGTGGCGTCCGGGGGCCACTCCTGGACCCAGGCCGCCTCCTCCTCCTCCTCCTCCTCCTCCTCCTCCTCCTCCTCCTCCTCCTCCTCCTCCTCCCTGGCCGGAATAGGGAGGGGAGGAGGGCACGGTCGGGCTGCCAGGAAGCTGCCCGGGACGGAAAGGCTTGCCCCTGGGAGGGGGTCGAGAGATCCAGGGGCAGGCGCCTCGAGGAGCTCGGGTCGTCCTCCTCCTCCCGCGGCGGGGGGCGCAGTCCTCGCGCACAGTCGACGGGTGCCGACGCGCTCCTGTAACGCTCGGCGCCCGCCCCCCCAGGGACGGCCGCTGCTCGCGGCAGGCGACAACCATCCCTGGGGGGTGTGGGGGGGGGGGGGGCGGACGCGCCAGCCAGGGCCTACACCCTCCTCCTCCTCCTCCTCCTCCTCCTCCTCCTCCTCCTCTTCCTCCTCCTCTTCCTCCTCCTCCCGCCAATCCTCCTGCAACTCCTCCTCCAGCTCCTCCCACGCCCAAGACCCCCTGCCCTCGTTTTGAGAGCGAAACAGTGAGCGAGGAGCAATGCTTGCAGGGACTTGTGATTGTGAGGGGAGGGGGCCTGGGGCTGGAGGGTGTGTGGCGGCATCGTTGATGCATCTCGGGTTTGACTCTGGTCCTCCTCCTCCTCCTCCTCCTCCTCCTCCTCCTCCTCCTCCTCCTCCTCCTCCTCCCCTTCGCAGTGTGCGATGCCCCCGCTGCCTGGCGGAGCTCGCTGCCCACTCGTGAAGACTGCGCGAGCCTCCTCCGCGGGCAGCGGAGTTCGACCTGGCGCAATTAGCTGGGTCACCCAGCTTCGCGCACCGCGCCACGCGAGGCGCGACGATCTTCGCGCCATCGCGCCGTCGCGCCGACCCCCTGGAGAAAGGCCGCTGATCCGGCCCAGACCGCGATGGATGAAGCCCCATCTGATCTTCGCGCCACCGCGGGTGACCCGGGGTCGGGGCACCCCGCCGCGTGCTGGGCTCGCGAGACCTCGGACTTTGGCCCCCCACGGCTCCATCTCTGCCTCCTTCTGGGGCTGGGGCTGCGGACGGTTCTGCTTCAGGAGATGCCGTCCTTACTTGTCCTCCTCCTGGCCTTCGCCAGGGGGAGGGGAAATAAAAACACGAAGGTGGAAGGGAGGAGAAGAGGGGAACGGGCCGAACGACGAGACGGACCCTGAAGAGGCTGAAGATCCCTCCTCCTCCTCCTCCTCCTCCTCCTCCTCCTCCTCCTCCTCCTCGTCCTACTAGAAGGGTACTCGTAATGGTAGTAGGAGTATGCGTATCCGTCGAATAGCGATAGCATTACAGTATCAATCGCAGGGGCTGTACGTGACGTTAGCAATGGCCAAAACATAGCATACCAATTGTGGTCGCATCCGTCACATCGCAAGTATTCGAAACAAAAGCGTTCTGTCGAACACAATCGTCCTTAGCAGTAGTGCTTAGGACTGTGGAACAGAATCATCCCTGCGGCAATAAGTTAAGCTATGTGCCTGTAGCTTTACGCTGAACTTGGCAGCCGTGCAATGATTACATCAGTTTGGGGTGTCGCACTCGAGTTCGATATAACATGTACTAGTCGCAGTCGCAGCATCCGCAGCAGCAGCAACAGTGGTAGCATTACTGTGCGTAGTGCGAGTGGTGGTAGTCGTAGGAGTAGTAACAGTAGTAGTAGTAGTAGTAGTAGTAGTAGTAGTAGTAGTAGTAGTAGTAGTAGTAGTAGTAGTAGTAGTAGTAGTAGCAGTAGTAGTAGCAGCAGCAGTAGTAGTAGTGCTAGTACTAATACAAAAAAAACAGTAGTTGTAAAGTAGTAGTAGTAGTAGTAGTAGTAGTAGTAGTAGTAGTAGTAGTAGTAGTAGTAGTAGTAGTAGTAGTAGTAGTAGTAGTAGTAGTAGTAGTAGTAGTAGTAGTAGTAGTAGTAGTAGTAGTAGTAGTAGTATCGTAGTAGTAGTAGTAGTAGTAGTAGTAGTAGTAGTAGTAGTAGTAGTAGTAGTAGTAGTAGTAGTAGTAGTAGTAGTAGTAGTAGTAGTAGTAGTAGTAGTAGTAGTAGTTTAGTAGTAGTAGTAGTAGTAGTAGTAGTAGTAGTAGTAGTAGTAGTAGTAGTAGTAGTAGTAGTAGTAGTAGGTAGTAGGTAGTAGGTAGTAGGTAGTAGGTAGTAGGTAGTAGGTAGTAGGTAGTAGGTAGTAGGTAGTAGGTAGTAGGTAGTAGGTAGTAAGTAGTAGTAGTAGTAGTAGTAGTAGTAGTAGTAGTAGTAGTAGTAGTAGTAGTAGTATTAGTAGTAGTAGTAGTAGTAGTAGTAGTAGTAGTAGTAGTAGTACTATTAGTAGTAGTAGTAGTAGTAGTAGTAGTAGTAGTAGTAGTAGTAGTAGTAGTAGTAGTAGTAGTAGTAGTAGTAGTAGTAGTAGTAGTAGTAGTAGTAGTAGTAGTAGTAGTAGTAGTAGTAGTAGTGGTGGTAGTAGCAGTAGTAGTAGTAGTAGTAGTAGTAGTACTCGTAGTTTTAGTAGTAGTAGTAGTAGTAGTAGTAGTAGTAGTAGTAGTAGTAAGTTGTAGTAGTAGTAGTAGTAGACAAGTAGTACGTCCGCAGTAGTAAGCTCCCCGTGAAGAGAGAGCTGTGTATAGTAGTTAGTAGTAGTACTAGTAGCAGCAGTAGTAAAGTAGTAGGTTTAGTCGTAGAATTAGAGCAGAGCAAAAAAAACGAGAAGCATGGCGTAGGAGAGCGGGATGGGAGTAGGAGTAGGAGTAGGAGTCAAGCTAGCCAGCTCGAGCGAGTCAAGCATGGCATGCCCAGTCCCACCCGCCCTCCCACGACATAAGAAGCAAAGCTGGCACAACTGGGGGCCGAAGTCACACCGGCCAGCCGGTTTGGTACAGCTGATGCGGCCGCGATGGCGGTTGCCGACGGGAACTGGCGAGCGCGTGTTGAATGCCGCGCACGCATTGCCAGACGAGTCGAGAATGGCCCGGTACACCGCAGGAAGCCAGAGGTGGCCGGAGGAAGCCCGACGGTCTGACAGGACACCCCAAAGCATTTTTGTGGAAAAGCATTAGGTTTTTGATGTTTTTATGTTGAAATGCTTGCAAACACACGGTGTTCGGTAGGATTCTGACATGAACGCGCGAGTGTGCTCTTTGTGGTATTTTTTGCACAGGATTCGCGGCCTGGGTGCATGACGGAGCATCGCGAGTGCACCGCGCGATGACGTGAAATCGCTGGATTTGACCGAATTCTTAAGATTCCTATGGTTTTCCTATGATTTCAGCAAGAGAGCCCGGGCGGGAAATTTGTACAATTTTTGTGAAAAAGCATTTGGGTTTTTGATGTTTTTATGTTGAAATGCTTGCAAACACACGGTGTTCGGTAGGATTCTGACATGAACGCGCGCGTGTGCTCTTTGTGGTATTTTTTGCAATGGATTATCGCCGTGGACGACAGGACGTCCATGTCGAGAGGAAAAAATAAGAAAAATGTTGATTTTGTATTGTTTTTTACAGGTTAAGATGGGACCACCCGGATGCGGCCCCTATCGGCCGGCCTGAGGGGGGAGTAGGAGTATATTCTAATAAGGAATGAGGATAGGAGTAGCAGTAGCAATAATAGTGATCGCAGTGATAGCAGTAGTAGTAGTAGTAGTAGTAGTAGTAGTAGTAGTAGTAGTAGTAGTAGTAGTAGTAGTAGTAGTAAAAGTAGTAGTAGTAGTATTAGTAGTAGTAGTAGTAGTAGTAGTAGTAGTAGTAGTAGCAGTCGTAGTAGTACTAGTAGTAGTGGCCAACGCAGCAGTAGTAGTAGTAGTAGTAGCAGTGGTAGAAGAAGTAGCAGCAATAATAGTAACCACAGTAAGAGTAGTCGTAGTAGTAGTAGTCGTAGTACTACTACTACTACTACCACCACTACTACTACTACTACTACTACTACTACTAATACTACTACTACTACTAGCACTAGTAATAATAGTGGCAGTAGCAGTAGCAGTAGCAGTAGCAGTAGTAGTAGTAGTAGTAGTAGTAGTAGTAGTAGTAGTAGTAGTAGTAGTAGTAGTAGTAGTAGTAGTAGTAGTAGTAGTAGTAACAGTAGTAGTAGTAGTAGTAGTAGTAGTAGTAGCAGCAGGGTGGTGGTAGTAGCATTGGTGAAAATAATAGTCGTAGTAGTAGTCGTACTAGTAAAAGTAGTAGTAGGAGTGGTAGTAGTAGTAGTAGTAGTAGTAGCAGTAGTAGTAGTAGTAGTAGTAGTAGTAGTAGTAGTAGTAGTAGCAGTAGCAGTAGCAGTAGCAGTAGTAGTAGTAGTAGTAGTAGTAGTAGTAGTAGATAATAGTAGTGGTGGTAGTAGTAGCAGCAGTAGTAGTAGTCTTTGTGGTACTAGGGGTGATGATGATATAGCAAGAAGTAGTAGTAGTAAAAGTGATACTGGTAGCAGTAATCGTGGTAGTAGTAAAAGTGATGATGATATAGCAAGAAGCAATCGTGGTAGTAGTAAACGTGATAGAGGTAGTAGTACTCGTGGTAGGGGTAATGGAGATATAACAAGAAGCAATCGTGGTAGTAGTAAAAGTGATGGTGGTAGTAGTAGTAGTAGTAGTAAATCGTGGTAGTAGTCATCGTGGTCGTAGTAAAAGCCATTCTGGTAGTAGTAGTCGTGATAGGGGTAATGATGATACAGCAAGAAGCAATCGTGGTGGTAGTAAAAATGATAGTGGTAGCAATAATGATAGCGGTATCAATCGTGATTGTCGGCGTAGCAGCAATAGCGATAGCGGCAGCAATCGCTGTAGTAGTCGTGGTAGTAATAGGAGTAGTATGTGTAGTACGAGTGGCAAGAGTCAAAATAGTAGTAGTAGTAGTCGTAGTAGTAGTAGTAGTAGTAGTAGTAGTA